TCTCTGTTGCATAAGGACATTAAAATGTCTTTAAAAGAACATAAGTAGTTCATGTGACAAATGAGGTGAGGCCTGGGTTTCATGATGAAAGAAAAGCAAAAATTGAAAAAAACTGGTGAATACTTAATCGGAGAACGTGGATGAAAAACCATTCTACATTCTACATTCTACATACGCATTACACTAATTACATGTATTATTGGAGGCCTTTATTCTTTATTAAATTCTTCATATTAAAAGTGAAAGTTCCATCCCCGCTATGCTTAGCTGATTTTAATATTAGAATCAAAGAAGCAAAAAGGACTTTGGCATATTGACTGCTCCTTTTGACATAAAATGGAGAATTGTGCCCTCCCCAGGAGAGAGCTGGTAATTGCAAATCAACTTTTTAGAAATTTCACCCTCAAATGTACAAGAAAAATTAAAAGCTTCCTTACAGTAACTGCAAGCTTCAACAGAGATACTAGTGAAGTCCCTATTTATACCAACATGACACGTGTGGAATGGCTGCAGGATTGGAGTATGAAATTAGGCTATGTATCTAAAGTTACTAAATATTTAGACAGATAAGTGGGAGATGAATGTAGTGACGTCAAATATTTTTACAAAGACATCCTTGGGAATTTCTCATTGAACACTAAGAATTGAAGTCCTGCAAATCAGCTCAGAGAAAAAGGCTGAGCTGAAGCAGATTTTAATTCCCATTATAATTTTTTTTTCTATTGAGAAGCTGCTAGGGAATTTACATATATTTTAGAGGATAGAGGCCACTGAAAGGTTCATTATTAGTATTTTGGCTACTTAAACTTGCCAGAGAAGAATAAGATCAATAAAACAAAACTTAAAGATTATTACTAATTTTATAAGGTAAGCCAGTTTATTAGTGAAAAATGAATGGTTTAGCACAAGCAAGCTCAGTTGCAATGACAAGGAGATGTGTCCTTTCTCCTAAACTCTTGATCAGTTCAAAAGGCTACGTTTAGTGGAAGAGATATTGCTAAAACTAGCTCCTCTCTGGTTCAATGTTTGTTCACTTTGACCTTTGTGTATCAGATTATCTCCAGCATTGTTGCTGCTTTCTTAACAAAGACTAGGTCAAATACATGGGTCATGTTGGGCTGGCCTGAAACTGAAGGATATGTCCACTTTTTTCTCCTTCTCAACAGAAAAGAAGAGATGCAGCAAGGACTCCAGTTGCCCTCCTGTCTGACGGGATACTGAATTTTAAAAAGATTCAGCTGTGCTTTGGAAATAAAAGTGAAACTCCTCAACATCTAAACCTGTCCTCCACTTCAGGAGATCAGGTGCTACCGTAAAATTGCCCAAAGGAGATAGCCCGCATATCTTAAAGCTGCGGTGGTTGAGAAACACTGATTAAATGATCTAAGGGAGCCATTTTGTTGCCTCTGGTTAATCAGTGACTGATATCCCCCTCTCCTCTGAAGGATTCTCAGCAGCTATTGCAAACCAAATTCTGCCGATACCAAAGGCAGAAAATCCAATTGCTCTTCCTTGTTCCTAGGTAGTAATCATAAATGAACTATTTCTTGTCACTTTCTAGGACTCAAAGTCATCTGCCTTGGTTCACTTCATGGCAGAATCCTACATATAAGAATCAAGAAGCATTGTTACCTGGAATGTTAGGCTTTATTGCCATTTTAATAAAAGTAACATTAGCATTTTAGCATGGCATCCATGTCTCTTTTTGAAGTTTAGGAAACCATGTTTTTCATTTAGTCAAAACAATTTTCTTTGATGTGCAAAAATGAGCCTATTCAGAGACTAAACAGGAAGGCTGTATTTTAAAGTCCATGAGTGTTGCTAAGTTTTAAAGAAACAAGCCGGGGTGGGAAAGGAAGAGATACAACATAAGAATGTTTTTTCTCACATCTAACCCAATGCCTTTTTTTTGTTTGATTCATCGCTTTCTGATGCATCACATATATTGAATGTATCATTTGTTTCTGTACCCTATATAAAGACCTGATCCCCATCTTAATGTTTTTTACTTTGTCTGAAGTACTTGTGATTCTTGTCAGGGTGTGTGCGTGAAATTCCCACTTTGCAGAGGTACAGAGTATCTCTCTCTCAAATTTAGGGACTGGGTTCTTTCCTGCTCTGCACCACTTGGGTGTCTGAATTTTAAAGGCAAGATCATTCTTTTTCCTAGTGCTTTCCCCTAGTACCATTGGGGAATTGATTTTAAAAGTGCCAATATTAAAAGTGGCCCTTCTAATTGAAAATGTCAAAATACACAGGTCATCATCAACTTATGACCCCACTTCAGCCAAACATTTGGGGGTTTGCCCCATTTTATGACCTTTCTTGCCATAGTTGTTAAGCAAACACTGCAATTGTTACATTAGTAACATAGTTATTAAGCAAGTCTGCCATCCCACATTGAGTCTGCATGTCAGAAGGTTGCAAAAGGTGATCACATGACCCCGGGACAACTGTCATAAATATGAGTCAGTTGCTGAGCATTTGAATTTTGATCATGTGACCAAAGGGATGCTGCAACAATGTTAAAAATGGTCATAAGTCACTTTTTTCAGTGCTGTTGTAACTTCGAATCATCACTGAAGTTATAAGTCAAGGACTATTTGTACAGCTTAAGAGAAACAGAAAATGAGTTGCTGCCCCCACCAGGAAGGAAGCCTTTTAAAAGCAACAGTGTTCTCCAGAAGCACCCAGAAAATGTGTATAATTTATAATTAGCAGAGGTTTCAGAAGGTGAGGGAATCAGTGGAACAACATAAGCTTCTTACAAGTACCTGGAGCGGGAATTTCTTCAAATCAACTTTTACTAGGTTACAGGTTGTGTGTAGAGAGAAGGCCAAATATCTAATCCACCTTTGTTGAAAATTGTAAGTCTCATATTTTCAAAGTGCTGGTGAAAATACCTGAAAATTTTTAAAAGAGAATTCTGGGGATCAGATGGGTGAGTCACAGAACTGGCCAGTGTAACACAGTGGCATTTAGTTAAGGCAGATAAACACATTTTTCCCTCTGGCCTGCCCTTCCCAGAAAAGATTGGTATGCACCTTATTGCTGCATTGTCTAATTTCTCTACCATTCTAAGTTCAGCTATCTCTCAGCCTGCTACAGCTTCTGTACATTATAAAATGTAGCCAGATATGCCGTTATAAATAGGTTCCCATTAGGGTTTCCAATAAAACTTAACTGGCAACATCTTGTGGCTAGAATAAATGCTGATCCATTTCTTATTCTTTTACTTCTCTCTCTCTGCTCCAGAAATATATGATTCCCCGTCATGTCATTTCCTCCACGTATAGTGACCAACTAGTAACATCTACAAGAAAATAACCAAGCTCAGAGAGCACGTCATGCCAAACCTGAACTACAAATATTCCTCTTTATTGAGCCATTTCTATCTGAGGATCATTATTCTAGATGGCTTGTTCACAGACTTCAATCATGTGGGTCGGAGAGGTTAATGAAGTCCACATTCTCTGTTTTTCCATGACACAACCACACAAAGCCTGTGAGAGAAATTCATTCTTCAAAGAACGTAGCGTCTTGCATCCATTTAGCATTGATTTGGTGGAGCAACAAACTCTCAGCATGGAATTTCTTCACTTCCTAGATGAAAATTACGCATTATAGGACAGATGACATGACTTAGGGCCAAAATACACAAAGCATCACTGAGCAATTTTTCCCTCAATAAAAAACGGGAAAAAAGCCTCGCACAAAATCTTACCATTTTAACTTTCTTCTGTTTAGATTCCTTTATCTCGTCAGAAAATATTAACTAGCAGCAGCCTAAATTGCACTGGAACATCTAAAACATGAACTATGAACAGTGAGACTTGTGACACACTCTTGTTTGGAGATTTTCAACCTTTTCTCTTACAGTACATTTTCAGACAATTTAAAATGCTTCAGTGGCTAGTTTAAGATCTGGTCTAGCCAGCTCTTCAAATATTTACCTGAGTGATAAATGCTTCTTATATGATAAAGAACAAGGAACTTATCAGATAAAACTCATGTGGGGCAATGGCTCAGAACTGTTTTTCTAAGTGCATAACTCCTTTTCTTTGCATGTAAAGGATCCATGTTATAGAAATCTTATGATTTACGTAAGTATCTCTATCTACAATATCTCAAGGAATTCCAACATGCCAAATTCATAACTTAGGAATAAGTAGCTTTCAAAAAATGTGCTGGAGACATAATGTGCTGACACTTATGACAAAGTGGGTTATAAAAGGGAAATGTTTTCTGAGTCAGCCCCGTTCCTCTAAAAATGCAAAAAAAAGAAAGACCAATCTCAACTTTTCCCTGCTATATTGTTTCAAGGATTATGTATTCTTCAGCTGGTCACTACTGTTAATATTCAGCATTTTGTGTCATCATATAGCTTACTTAAGAAGATAATACCATCACTTATTTTTCAATACATTAAATTCAGTAAATTTAACTTAGGATGAAAAATGAACTATTGATTTTGGCTATGGTCACGAAACTGTTTTGTTTCTTAGAAGGAACTTGGATTGTTTTATTATCAGCTACTCCACGCTTTGGAACAGTAAAATATAAGTATTTTAAGGTTGGTAATGATAAACCTTATAAACAATATTCATATATACACATGTACACACACCATATGCGCGCATTCATAGATGTACATTTTTAAAGAAAGCAAGCAATACAGCTCTTTTCGTGAGTATATTTTTTTTCCTCTGGAATGGTTACTTTTCCAAATTTCAATTCAAACTTTTTTTTTTTATTTTAAACCATTCCATGTTATCTCTTTATTGCAAAAAGTCAACATGCATCTTAGAAATTCAAAATGTAATCAATAAAACAAACATTACATATATGAATTTAAATGTATAAACAGTTAGAAATCCAACAATATCTCCTAATATACTATTACACAAGTTCACAATCTTGTAAAAACTATAATACAAGTTAATGTACATTGAGAGGAATTTAATATTCCTTTTCACATGATTTCATTAAAAATGTTGAAGCATCTCCACTGTATGTGGGTGATTAAGGGTTATTGTTTTTTTGAAAAGTTTCAGATGCTGTGCATTTTTGTATGTAAGGATTAAAAAATACACCACAATTAAACCGACAGTTTATATAGTAGTAGTATTAATATCTGTAAAGCTTTAAGGGGATGATTCACTGAGCATTTACATTATGACATTCTTTTCAATGTCAATAGAGTGATACATTGCTAACTGGTTAGAAAGGGATATTTTATATATATAGTGAAGTTTTATTAGAATTCCTAGCTTTCAAGGTACTTTGCAGGTATATTTATACTATGCTTTCTGTTATGGCTTATGACTATTAAAGGGACAATTTCACAGCAGGTGGTACCAGAAGTTACCCAGTTAACACATTAGTTTTTTTTTTAACCAAGTTCTAATACACAACACAGGGAGATTCATAGCTACATCAAAATGAAGGTCACTTTGAACTAGTTTCCTATTTTCTTTTTAAGTGAGTTATCACTATGCTGCTCAGTACTTACATTCTCAGTAACACAATAGTATGCTTTCAATACATAAATTTAGGGGCACAACTCAAGTTTTGTGCTTGTAGGATGAGAAATTACATTTACGCTGTCACTAGAGGATTTATGTGTGTCAACTTACATTTAAAAAAACAGGAAAGAAAGCAAAGATGGGAAAAAGTTTATTTAATAAATCTCTCTGTTGGCCCCTATCTCTTCTCTATGAAAAAAGCTAACACTTTGAGTAAAGATATTCATTCTGTCCTGAACAGCATGCTAACAAAAGTTATTTAAAACCATATGAAAAGGAATCCCATCCAGTCTAACTGTTCCAAAAGCTAAGGAAATTTCTCTTACAGCTTCGTTCAGTCAACTGTAATCTTCCAGATACAAAAATACATACATAAGAATTCTTATGGAAATCTAGATGCTGGTAGTTTTTAGTACACAAAAAAAGCAAAAATATTTACAAAATTATACAGTTCTAAGAAAAAACCCTGTACAATATATATATATATATATGTGTATGTATATATATATATATATGTATGTATATGTATATATTTCTCTTTCCATATATATATATATATACACACACACACACATATACATATATACACATGTATCTCTATATATGTATACATAAATCCTTTGTTCCCTCTATTATTAACTAACTGTTCAGATTCAAGCGTTTTTCTTGCTGGGTCAATATATGTGATGGCCATATACTGAGCCACAAGCATTCTAGATATCACAGGCAATGGGAGAAAAGCAAGGCTTTGCCTGGTAAAGAGTGTGCAATATTCGTGCCTTATTGTTATAACTTAATTCACTGAGATTCAACATTAGTAGGAATGTAGCAATAATCTAGAACACAAAGGCCTTTACATAAAGGGCAAATAAGAGCTGGTAGCATACACTCTTACTCACTTATGGATGGAATTCAAACGGGATGTGCTTTTATAACAATGTACATAGTTCCCAAAGTGTGAGGAAGAAAAGAAAAAAGTTCCGGCAGCAAGACCAGAAACATGAAACCAACTTAGTAGTTCGGATACTTGGATTCAATTAAATACCACTATGCTAATCTGAACCCTAAACCCTGAAAAATATAATTAAATTTTCGAATTAATGAATGCTGAGGTGCCATGGGAATTGATACAGTAATGTTTGCCTTGCTTCATCAATCTTAACTTAAATGCAGTGACATCATATGGTCCTTGCATAACATGCTGTTCTTATCTATGGCTAGGATGGGGATAAACAATGGCCCTTCAAGAGTTTTTTAAACTATTGTCCTTAAATTCACAGTCAGTGCGTCCTATAGTAGGCTATCTGGGGAGCTGTATCAGACAGCCACATTTCCACATCACTGACCATGAGATAGTATACAAAAGCACTAAGAGATGTCCCACAGGAGGACATATTTGGACTTCATAGCAGCAAGAGACATGGGTTATAAAGATCTATTGCCCTTGCAGTAAAAAAAATGTAATATAATGTCTACCAAATTTACACCATGAACTATTTGGTGTTTTTTTTTTTTTTTTTAAAAAAAGGGGGAAGACTAGACACATTTTTATCAGCATGCAGACAAAAAAAATTGCTTAAACCAGTGTTTTACTTTTTTTCCTCAACTCAATATTAATTTTTAATGTGTTATAACTTGAACTCGCAATATTATTTTAAGTGCTGGTTTAGTATCTATTATTTTAAAACAAAATTGTTTTTATTTTGCAATTCTATGGGTTGCAGGAAATATATCACTTGGAACAGTGCATTGGCTTTTCCTTAAAAAATAAAATGCAGCCATTAATTACCCTGAAAAGAGTTTTAGAAATAGGTCATTATCAAAACAAATAATTTCACATTACCAATACTGTTAAAAAAATATTCCTACTGTGGTCATTTTTAATAGATTTTAAGGCTGACAGCTCCACCGAACTAAAATGTGAAATCAGAGCAGAAGTGCTTGGGTCAGTTGCATTCCTAATGGTAATTAAAAGAATGTTTAAAGATGGGAAAGAAACAAAACACTAGAAAAAGGAGTCACTATCACCAATGCTGGCAAGAACTACTATTATTCTAACAACCATATTCCAGATAGTGGAATATAGGAAAAACGGCTCCTTCACAAACGTATGTGCAATTCCTGATTGTTTTTCAATTGAGATTTACTTAAGCTGCCTGCCACCCAATGAAAGGAATTCTGAATTAGCAAATTCTAGACAATGTTGACGAATTTGACATTGTTCTCATCTCAGATTCCACATTGCTAATAAAAACTACGAAGTCATTGATATTTAATAAAACAAATTGCTATTTTAAAATCAGAATGAACAAAACTTGGGCTTGAAAGACTAATATATTTTACTTTTATAAGATCACAACCATTTTACAGCTTTATAGAAGCTCTGGGCCTTTGGCTGATCATAGCTACTTACTTGCTAAGTTTACATATCAAACACATTTGTTATTTTAATGTGTGTATATATATATGTATATATATATATATATAAAATGAAAAACAAAAACAGATTTTTGGCTCATGGATTTCCTTTAAATATTTTTAAAAAATCTGAGTTCGAACAATTCTAAAATTATATGCTTCCTCTTGAAGTTTCATCTTCTCCAAGAGCGAGATTCATCTTCATCTTCATCTTCATCATCATCATCTTCAGGTAGAAATAAATCCGATGTTTCTGTCTCCTAAAGAAAGATAAAATGTAATATGGTTATAAAAATTATAGTGATCTTACAGTCCAGTCCTAAGACTACATTTCTTTCTTGGGATGATCTCCAAAGAAATCTAGCCACATGCAAACAAATACTAACAAAAATTCTAGCTGTGAAATGGCAGAAACACTCAACGCTATGAAATCATGAATTATATTTATTTATCCAATTTAGAGCCGAGGTGGCGCAGCAGTTAGAGTGCAGTACTGCAGGCCACTTTAGCGGACTGTGTTCAGCAGGTCAGCGGTTCAAATCTCACCGGCTCAAGGTTGACTCAGCCTTCCATCCTTCCGGGGTAGGTAAAATGAGGACCCAGATTGTTTGGGGCAATGTAAAATATATATATATACATTGCTTACTGGTGTACACCGCTTAGAGAGTGCTTGCACTTAAAGCGGTATATAAGCCTCATAAATAAATAAATAAATAAATAAACTCATTGTGGAAAAAGTACAAGTAAAAATATTTTTAAAATTAATACTTGTCTAATGCTTGAGACCATCCTGTAATGGGCCATGAGAATCACCTTGGCAGAAAGGACAAAGGAGGAAGAACTGCAGCCTAGAGAATGGCCAGACAGAAGATATCTCAGCCCACAAAAAGAATGTGGGGTGAGAGAGCAAGTCAGAAGGGACCCTCCCTGGTTCTCTGAAAAGGGAAGGGAAGGGAGGAGAGAAGTGCTTTCAGACTTGCAAGATTCTGCTACAGTAACCTTACAAATAAAGGTAGTGTTTATACTCATGGCTTTGGTTTCCTCCTTGGTCTACCTCAGAGGACTGACACATCACTTCAAGTAGCCTTACTTATATAGTATTAGCAAATTATAGATCAGAAATATTTCATAATAAAACACAATCTACCAATTTTTAAAAACATATTTGCTATCCATCGATGCCTTTCAAAACATTGTCATTAAAATGTTTTGTATGCAAATGTTATTGTTAGTACATGTATATATCTCACTGCATTATTTTAAAATTCAGCACAATGTACAGCACAATAATGAAAATGCAGAAACATAAATAAATTAAAACCATAAAAGAGCGTTCGTTACAAAGGTTGATGGCAGAAAGAGATTAGAAATAAAAGAGAACTATAGCAAGCAATATTTGTAGGTGGCTGAAATATATAGCAGTAGGTGCCTCATGAATGTATCTACCGATTTGCTTTATATTCTGCTTTTTGGTCAGGGTGAAGTATATAATATTCCTCCTAATTTTTCCCACAGGCGTGCCACAAAGGTGGCTTGCCGGTCAGGACCCACAAAATGGCTTCCAATTCTTCAAGACCATCTCCAAGGATGTTTGAACTATCAGTAATGGCAATGGTCTCTCAGATACCCTCTCAAGGTGTTCTAGTTCAGTGGCCAACTGGCAACCAAGTCAATAGGGTTCTAATACATGTACAGTCTTTGCTCAGTATCCTTGCTGCTGATTCCTGATGATCATTCCAGCAAGTTCACATTGATGTTATTATACCATGGAGAACAAAACAATGGCTTGTGGCTAGACTAAAGTATGCTAAGTAACCCTAGTACTCTCCCTTCACATGTCAAAGAAACCAAAGAAGTTCAAGCAGGATCAACAGAGCTATATTCCCTTTGTCAGATTATAAAATAGTGAAAGTATTGCTTATTCTGGATTCTCAAACCAGGCCTGTACTCAAGACAGAAAAAGCACACAAAGAATTAATAATGTTGACAAGACCTTCTGAATCCATGGAGGTGTCTACAGCAGTGGTTCTCAACCTGTGGGTCGGGACCCCATTTGGGGTCGAACGACCATTTCACGGAGGTCGCCAAACAACGCAGTCTGCCATTTTTTCCCCCTTTTCCTTAGCTGTGCTACTCCCTTTTATTCTATTGGCTTTTGAAAGCCAATAGAATAGACTCTCTTGAATAGACTCTAATTCTATTGGCTTTCAAAAGCCAATAGGAATTGTCCAGGCTGTCTCTGCCCTGCTGAGCCCGCCAAAAGTCCCATTCTGCAAACGGTGCTGCACCAGTTGAGTAGTCCTCGACTTACGACCGGTTGAGTAGTCCTCGACTTACGACTGGTTGAGTAGTCCTCGACTTATGACCGGTTGGAAGGTCGCGGCATTAAAAAGGTTGAGAACCACTGGTCTACAGGAATGAATTTGCTTTCTTAAGGTTGGCAGTATCATTCCAAAATGGAAGTATCCATGGACAATATCTACGATTTGCTCTATCAACTCTTTACAGTTCACCTATATAAGCAAAGGGAGCTAAAAATCCAGAGAATATGTGGAAAACCCGACAGCTAGAAGCATTTTGTCCATAAATCCTAGACTCTGCTGTATGGACATTTGAGAATGTAACAAAATCCACAAAGCAGATATGATTATATGCATTAATTCATGTTTAATCAGCTCCACAGCAAATTTATACTATTTGCGTTCTTGCCACCTTCCAGTCTAATTCATTACTGAAAGGTCCCCAGAAATCCAAGAAGCTCAGATTCCACAGTATTGGAGAAACATTTGAGGGTGACTGTACAAAGATACATAGGTATTTCCCATTCCTAATGTCAATAAGGGTCTTGAAAGAAGTCTTGGCTTTGTTTTCTGAAAATTTTCCCAAATTTTTACAAACCCATCAAATTCCTTCGGTCTTGATGGGAGACAACCTTAAGTGATCAATAGGTGATAGAAAAGCAATGGTGATCTGGGAGAAACTTTTCCAGTCTTTGGCCATGAGAACTACAATTCCCCTTCCAAAGTAACCCCTTCATGACTTGGGGCAAAACTAAATCAGAGCTATGCTTCTATTACTGAATCTGATGACAAGTCAAGGTAGATTCATGACTGCCATACTGTATGCCTCCCTAAGGTAGCCTCAGCATGAATGCTGAAGTCCACCAGGATCAATCCCAGGATTGTTCTGGGATCAACAGCACACCTGAAAAAAGTTTCAGCAAATTTGGTCAGAGAAATGGTCGGGCAGCAGGATAGGCCCACTGACTTGCTGTTTGAGCATTAAATAAAGTCTTCATGTCTTGATCCTTCAGAGCCGAGGTGGCACAGCAGTTAAGAGTGCAGTACTGCAGGCCACTTTAGCTGACTGTGTTCAGCAGGTCAGCGGCTCAAATCTCACCGGCTCAAGGTTGACTCAGCCTTCCATCCTTCCGGGGTAGGTAAAATGAGGACCCAGATTGTTGGGGGCAATGTAAATATATATATACATTGCTTACTGGTGTACACTGCTTAGAGAGTGCTTGCACTTAAAGCGGTATATAAGTCTCATAAATAAACTCATAAATAATTTCTGATGAGCAGGATGGAATTCCTATTGACCAGAGCAGTTGTACCATCAGTTCAAGTTGGTGCTGTGTACTGCAAAACTAGATGGCCAATGCTAGTTTTTAAGAAATTTTAAAGGACAAGCTATTTACATATTATTCTAATACCTCTTCCTTGGGCTCTTCCTCCTCAGTTTCTGTAGACACAGATGGTAACTTAGGTTTATGCCATGATATCTGAAGTCGTCGGTCTTTAAACTTTAATCCTTGATTGGCAGCCTAAGGTGGAATATTTAAGAAAGAAGAACAAAATATTTTATATATAGGATAAATTAGTGGCTAAACAGCATGTCAGAAAGATCTCCATTAACTCTAGTGATCGATCAGAACTCTGCACTGCTTAATAATCACTTTTCATATCTGCAAATTTAAGTTCTTTTCTGATAATTTAAATATTAGTAACTGGCTGAATTATAATCTATTATCAATTTAAACACAGCAACAGGGTTTAAACATTTAATGCCTGAAAATAGTTCATTTGAAGCTAGTATGTATTTGCCGATACTTTTAATTACAGAATATGTTTGCTTTAAAAAACTGGATATGGAGTAGTAGAACATTCTTTAAAAATTGAAAGCACATTACATACGTTTTCAGCTTCAGAGCGGGATTTAAATGTCAAAACAACACTTAAAGGAGATTCTTCCTCTTGAAGACCTTCAATATCTCCAAATTGCTGAAACACAAAAGACTGAGATTTACTTTCTTTCATTGCTAAAAAAACTGATGACCAATGAATTATTAATTATTAAAGTATACATAGGCAACCTGGTGCCTTCTAAATGTTTTGGACCTTAATTCCTAATCACTGGTTCAACTTAACATGGTCAATGGGAGATGTAGACCAAGACATTTAGAAAACACTTGGCTTTGCTACAAGAATTCTAGAAAGGCCTCTGACCTTTCTCAATAACATTCATGTTCTGGGACAACAATCTTATTTCTTAGCATTTTAGGAACCACATTAGTCCCCAAATATATAGGAAAAGTATACAAATTGCTCATAAACGTATGCCAGATGACAGCATGAGAAGTCTGGGCTTTTCAAAAACATCATAATTTTGGTTACAAATCTGACCCCATGTGTATTTAATTTTAAAAGAATTTCTGTGATGTTCAATGAAGCACATTCTTCATCAGGTATACATAAGGTTTTAGTCAGCGTTTCTAAATTGTAGAATCTGTGAAACTCAAATTAGCAAATCAATACTTATTTATATAATTGACATATTTATTTTACATTTAGAAATGCCTTTTAACTATGTTCTTGCTTTAGATAAACTTCAAGTATAATTATATTAGCAGTGAAAGAGAAAGCGATGGTTCAGGCAGCCAGAAAATTTGCTATTTGTTTATAGCTCATGAAAATCATGAAAATCACTAAATTATCTGTAAAGAAAGGGCCAACTCAGTGGCAATTGGTTGGAATTAACCTTCAGCATCAAAGCAAATTGATGTTGATTGTAAGGCACATTCACTTGAGTGTAAAGCCAGTGAAAATTAGATTAATTCCATAACAAACAAACATTGACAAGATTGTCCAATTACAGTTCCATTAAAGGATATTAAAAATATACTGGACAGTATGTGATTTCAGCACTTAGGAATCTTTAAAAAAGAATGCTAAAGAAATATAGAGGATAATGCTTAGAACAGCTACCTTCTCTAAGAGTTATCCAAATGTTTGTAGCATGTGATGCAATTTCATTGCAGCCAGATGGCTGAACAGATTAAGTACTAAAACAATGACTGCAGCTGTAAAAATGAAGCCAGTTCACTTTTAGGACACTCATGCTTTTATATTACTCTAGAACACTGCACAGAAATTGAAGTATATTTAGTTTTAGTTACAAATTGCTAACTTACTGAGAAATGTTGCAACACTTCATCTTTCTCTTCTTCCACAAAGCCAACAATCGTTAGTGCTTTGGGGCGGTGGTCCACTACCATGTGATTCACAATACCCCTTCCTCTCCCTCCACGACCTCGTCCTCTTCCTCTAGTTTGAGCTGACATTGCTTTCCCCCGACCAACAGGTAAGATACCTAAACGAGCCGCCTGGGCAAAAGGAATATATGTCAATTCTTTGTGGATAGTGTGTATACCTAACACCAGAATCAAAATGGCAGTCTACTCTACAAACTTACCTCCACCTGTAATTGGCTAAGTTTTTTTCTCAGTTCAGTTGTATCTTCCCCAGAAGACAATCTTTTATGTAAGTCCAATTCTGCATCTAAGAGTTCTTTCTGTGCCTTTGAAAGGAGAGAAGTTGTAGCAGAGAATTCATTTATTTTCTTCTAAATCTTTACATGTTATCCCTTAGGTTTCAATTTCCCAATATTCTAGGGAAAACATAATGGTAAGTTATATCTTTGGGGGTTTGGGGAGAATCCAAAATGTGGGATAGCAAAAGCTAAATAAATAATTCTATGTTAAGAGATATAACCAAAAGAATGGTTATAATACTGATAGCTAGAGCAAACAATGCTGATTGAGACCACATAAAATGCCTTGGGCAATCAGTGGTCTTAGAAAAAAAATCTGAAGATTCCAGCTTTGACTGAACAATGAGAAGAAATATGAAAGATGTATAACAAAATTAAAACATTGAAAGAAGTAGCAAACTTTTATAAATGCCAAAATTCATGTAATAGTTTGTATGCAAAGGCTACTTCTTAGCCCACAGTCATTGAATCAACAGCAGATTTTAAAACATAAAGCTTTTAAAACAATTGTATAACTTACTTCAGTTTTAGACTTTAGCTTTGATGTAGAAACAACGGATGAGGTTTTTAATTCATCTTTCAACTGTGAAATTTTCCCTGTTAGCTCTTTCAGAGTCTTCATAATCTCTGCTCTTTCCTCTGGTTTCGTGGTTTTATTTTTTTCCAATTTTGATATTAGCATCTATAAAAGTCAAAATAAAAATACCATGCTATTCTGAAAGGGTTTCGCAACAATCCATTAAATATGTTTACAAGTTATGTACAGAACAAAAACTTGGAAGTTAATTAAGAACCAATATGAAGAAGATTGAGATAGAATTAGGCACTTGGGCAAACCATAATCCTTTAAGAATGATGTGGAAAGGAATAATAAAAAAAACCCCTAAGATGGACCTCAAACCAATCCATATTAAAAGAGAAAGAATTTATGGAATTAGTAACAAAAGAAATGGAACTTTTTAAAAAAGAAAATAAAAAAGAAGATACAACATTACAAAAGTAGTGGCCAAAATTGTGGAAACCTTTTGGGAAAAGTGTACAGTAGAAATGCCACCTTTGGTTAAGTTTCCACCAATTTTTCTTCTAATTTCTTTATAACTGTAGCCTTGTTCACTTAATAATACTATTTTACATTGCTTTCTGGTAACCAGTCAACTCTTTGCACCATTACTTTAATTTATTACGTTTTACAAGGTCACTAAATGAAAGAACACAAAAAAACCCCAACCAACTTGATAGTGATCACATAACACACTGACAAATGTTCTCCTCTCAGCTTCAATACATGACATCAATAACTGAATCTTACTGTGATCAGATTGGCTCATTGCCAAAACAAGATGACACATGATTGGTTCTCTAAACACTCATGCTCATTGGCTACAATCAGATGAAGGAAAGCTACCTGATATCAACCTAAGCAAGTTGTGCTTCCTTTTTCTGGTACTACTCCAAAAAAAGTAGTGTTATTAGCCATCAAACCTCAAAAATATACTTTTCCCAAAAGGTTTCCACAATTTTGGCCACTAATGTACGTGGCGAAAAAAAAACAAAGAAAAAAGGTAACAAATATACTGTTAAGGGAAGAATTTAGAAAACTAGAATTAGAATTACAAATAAATCCACAAAAGAAAATACTGAAAAGACAAATGGAAATAATAAAACATAAATTAAACAGAATCAGAAAAATTGGCACAGCAAATTAAAAGAGCAAAACAAAACTTTTTTGAAAATGCAAATAAAACAGGAAGTTGGCTAGCTTACAAACTTAAAAAACAGAAGGAGAAAAAATTAATAAACAACTTAGTAGATGAAAAAGGCTGTTTACAATTTAGAAATGAAGCAATAAAAAGATAATTAAAGAATATTATGAGAAACTGTATGATATAGAAGAAATTTCATGGGAGAAAATGATTCAATAAGGGATTAGGAATTCAATTTGTATTAGTGAATGATATACTCAGACAACACATTTGTTGAATAAGTATTATTGAATTGTATTAAAAAATCAATAAAAACTTTTTTTAAAAAAAAAACCTTGGAAGCTAAGCAATTTAATTGTACCTTTTGACATTCTATTTGTTTCTCCAACATTTCCTGCTGTTTCTTTCTCATATCTTGTTGCAATTTCATTGCCTCCTACCAAGAGAAATGGTTTATCTTAATTACTATATAGTAAAGAAATGTAAATCATGATTTTCGATGATCCAAAGCAATATCATTTGGATTATGCTATTTTCTTCTGCAGCATTACAATTCCATGGAAAACAGTAATTATTTTTCATCACTTCGAGTCTATGGGTTTGGCTTCAGATAATTCAAATCCAGACTGGGATTCATGACATGCGGAAAGCTGCTACTATTGCCCTTCATTATACATACCAATAAAGAATATCTATAAATGGCTTCAGGTTTATATTCAAATCACACTGTAGTAAGCTCAATGTGGCAAACAGTGGTTTAATTGTCCCTCACTTTCCTACAACTGCAATCCTTCTACACTGAATCAATGTGGTATCTTTTTTTTTTTTTTTTGACTCTGCTAAGATTGAAACCCAAGCTGCTTTCTTCTGAGAAGAAGGAACTGTAGTAGACGTGCAGTGTTTCTCAACCTTAACAATGCTGGCTGTGGAATTCTGGGAGTTGAAGTCCACATGCCTTAAAATTGTCAAGGTTGAGAAACACTGGTTTACAGTGTTTGGATAAGAAAAAATTCAAGATAATGAGCATGACTATAAAACCAGAGATTATATTCAGTCATAATTCTCCCAACCAAAGAGTAAACCTGAAAGAATGATCTGAATTTTTCAAGAAATAATTTTTCATGTGGTTGATGCAAATCCTATTTTATTCAGAGATTACAGCTATTAAATACATTGCAATGATATGTGTTTACCTGTTTCTTTTTAAGAACTTCTTGGACATCATGAGATTTATTTCCTGTACCAGACTTATTTCCTGTTTTCAAATTGGAGGAACTGTAAACCATCTTTGTATGTGTTGTTGAAGAAGGAAACAACTGAAAGCAGCAATTTATAACAACACATTAATGGTGCCATTAAACTTTGTGCAACTATTTATTTATGGTAATAATTTAAAAAGATCAAATCAAACATTCTCAGATGGTATTTTGCCAATTATGTAAGGGTGAAATTTAAATTATCTATTGGTGCTACTACAATACCAGTGCTGACAACTGCAAACTTACATTGCATATCCAAATTTGACCAGAAGTAATAGTAAAAAAAAAAAAAAACAAAAAAACAAAAAAACAAAACAAAACAAAAAAAAAAACCCTAAAGTTTTTAAGAAACAGAAGATAAACTTGTGGTTATAGTAAAACTATTCATTCTAATTTAGGTAAGCTATTCCTCCATTTAGAGATGGTATGAATTACCAGAACATCCTAAAATTTAATAATTGTGAACAAATATACTATACAAATCTTTTTCAACCCAGCATTTTCCTGCAAGTGCAGAGTCCATTTTTTCAAATTAACCAATGCCATTTCATGCGATCAAATGCAGCAAGTGGGTGCAACCAGATAACTTTCATGTCCGCATTATGTTCTGCCATCTTTGCTTTGGTTTTCCACAGACATTTCCCATCAATTTTAAAGTTGTGAACAGTGCACGTGACAATATGGGTGTTGCTTGTAGAATGTGGCACAAACACTGTAGGCAATTTCCCCTCATTTTCTATTATTGATGCGATGTCCATCTGCTGCTGGCTTATCATTGCTGCTGTGGTGAAAAAGGGAAATGCCTAATAACCAATGGAGCATGGACTCAGCACTATACAGCACTACTGGAGGACCATCAATTTATATACTTTCGATTTTAGGTGAATTGGCCTAAGACTATTGCAAAGCACTGCAGTGATCTTCGGCAGCCACGTTGCACTCACCCTCACATACTCTATCTCATTAATGCCACTGTCACTTTGCAAGTAGGATCCTAAGTAATGTAAGGCATTTTGTTACAAGGTCTTTGCTGCTGACATAGATAGTGGAGGCGCTCTAGATATTTGGTCATCCTCATACTGAGATGCAAACCAAATTGGTTAAGATGATCATTCCCTATTTGGACACAGTGCTGCAGTTCTCTTTCCTAGCAGTTGATGTGAGCAGGACATTGTCAATATACAGCAAGGCCCAGGGGCACTGTGCTGTAGGTTTTGCATGAATGTATCCACGATGAGAATGAACATCAATGGCAATAATGCTTAGCATTGGTGCACATCAACATTCACAGGAAAGCTGTCAGAAAGGCTGTCAGTGAATGATACTTGGCTGCTGTTGTTAACATAAAGCTGAGGCAGAACATGGTCAAAAGCTTTTCTAAGTCAAGGAAAGCTAGGTGTAGTGGTTTCTTCTTTTCTCTATGCTGAAGAATGCAAGCTGTACAAATAGTGTTGGTGGTGCTTCAAACCTTTGATAAAACTACACTGGTTGATACTGATTTCAATGATGTCATGGAGGGGCTGGTTGAGGATCTGCTCAAAAATTTTCATTGTGTATAAGAAGAAGTGGATTGATTGGTAGCTGGAGCAGTCTGCTGGCTCATCTTTATTCTTGAAGAGGGTAACTATGTGGCCCAGTCACCAGACATATGGCTAGAGCCCAAAATGGCATTGAAAAGGTTTGTCAGTCAGTCAATTGCTGTGGTGAAAAGTTCTAAATTCCAGACGTCCGATGATGACAGATAGTTTGGGCCAGGGGCTTTCAAATTCATGTTGCTGACAGCTTTGGCAATCTCTTAAGATGCAATGTGCAAAGCTAACATTAAACAAGCCATCAAAAGTCGGTGGGTGTGGAAATTCGATGCTAGAGATTTCATTCAAAGTGCTGCTATTAGTGTTCCCAGATTTTGAGTTTATCTTAATGTTTGTCTTCAAACCATGGGTCATGTTCAATGTTCATATTACATGCCCTGGCATGCACTTTTGCTAGTCAGTAGATGGGATTTTTTGCTTTCCTTTGTATCCCTGTTAATCCCAATAAGGATTGGCTATGGCTTCTATGACAGTTTTCTTTGCTATTCTTCTTGCAATGACAAGACTTTTGCCAGTTTTCATTGGTCTTCCGCACATACCAGTTCTGTAAATCACCTTCTTTTCCATACTTTCTGCTGCATCTGCTTGTTGGTTCGATGATAACTTAATCTCATAGTGCCAAGGTATATTCTTGAAAAAATGGTAATGGGCTTGTGGAGAGCAGTACATGTGACATCAGTTGAGTCTGTGGTGATTGGAGGAAATGTAATGTGATTAACAATGGCCACCTTGTAGTCTTGTAGCTTCCACCACTTGGTTTTCTCTGGATTTGTCCTGCTGCTGTCATGCTCTGAATGCTTGCTGATCTTCTTATTGGCAATAAGTCTCTTATGTTGCGGGGCGAGGCAATCTGATGAAATATCTTTTATGTCCATGATAGTGGGCAAGTCATATCGTTGCACAAGGACAAAATTTGGTTGTATTACTATTGCATTGTATAATTATACACTGTACATATATACGTATTCATTATTCATAAAACGTACATGCATTGTAAGTAATTATAGATGCTAACATGTCAATTCTTTTACTGTAAGTGTCCACTAAATGGAAAAATGCTTTGTTTTTAACTTGGGAAAAAACAGTCCAATTGAACAAATTCAAAATGCTTTGAGTATTCATTCCATTTCAGCAGATTAAGAATTCAAAAAAATTCAGATATTTGAATTATAGAGAACAAGAGGAATTTGAAACAAGTTCATGTTCTCTGTGTCCGACATTAACAAAAGTTGGAAGAGGGATCATCCATCATCCTTTTTTCAGTACAATAGCCACACTGTTTAGGAGGAATCGACAACCAATTGCATTTACTTCACCAAAGCTCAGTGATGACATCAAAATAAATAATAAAAAAATAATCTTAGACACTCTCTTTTATTACAAGCTTGAGAGAGGCTTCTTCATCTAGCCAAAAGACCATACAAGCACAACATGGCAATGTACTGTATTTTGCAAACCACCTTCAAAAGAAAGTTTTAATAGCCTTTTGGTATTAGCCAATGTTAAACTGCCAAAGCTCAATATATAAAATCAGTATACAAGTCAATTTTAACTAAAAACAAATACAAAAATGAAACCAAAGGATTTAGCACATTTGGACACTAGAAATAATACTGTTCAAGACAGCCCTTTGTTTCAAGCTTGGAACAAAACTCTTGAAACCAAGACGCAACATATAGTAAAAAAAAAAAAAACCTCTGAAAACAAAAAAACAATGTGATAACTAACATTAACACAGAAACTATGGAAAAGTAAGCAAAAAACAAAAATTTTGACATAGTTTGGAGAATATATAAATATATTCATAATTTTAATTTGTACAAAATCTTAAAACACCTATATTCTATTTTCCATTAAAACTGTACCAGTAGAGGCAATATATTAGGAAATAAATATTAAAAATAAAAATAAAATTTTCATTTAAAAGATTCCTTAAATCTCTTTCGTTATGTCAGTTTTTCAACCAATTGCTCATTCTTTTTAAAACATTACTGCTTATAATTAATATATTACATATCTGCATTTGTAGTATTTTGTTCTGAGATCAGAATGTCTTCCGTATCCATTTCTCTTACCTGAACATCCTCTGTAGTAGCATTGGACTGGCTAAGTAATACATGTTGAGAATCTGGCTGATTTCCACTGGTTGTTCCAAGTCGATGTTTAACTGGAACCTTGTTAAAGACATAGGCGCCTGCAGCTAATGGTTTAACCACCTGCATGAATGCACATTAAACAGAAAAATGTTAGCATGTATTCATCTTTTTGAACTTCCAAAGATCAGAATTTGGGAAGATCAAAGAACTGAAGTTGCGGTAGAACACTACACCTTTGGCATACTGCTGTGCACTGTTACAGGTGGGGGCTGTGTCAGAACCTGTTGCTGGACATGCAGTTGATGAAGAGGTGATGGTGTCAGTGCCGGCTGCTGCTGCTGCTGTTGCTGTGGTTGTGGCAGATGCTGCTGTTGCAAGGGCTGCTGCTCACTGCTTTCCCGGTGCCACAATACTCGTATAAACCGATTGTTCAACACTGCCTCTGTGCTAGAAATAGCTTTTCTGGCCTCATCGTTTGTTAAATACTGAATTAGAGCAGCTTCAGGATCATTCTTAAAGGCAACCTAAGGAACAAAAATTCAAAATGTTTGTCTGCAAAGTCTAATCACACGGTAACAAAACGTCTAAGGTATAATTACTAGTTGCAATTTACTTCAGAGCTATCATTTCTGGTAAGATACTTTTACAAAATTCTTTGCAACAGTATTTAAGCACTGGCTGCCCACATTTTCATCCACACGGAAGGACAGGGATTCTCTATTGATGCCATTTATATATAATGCCATAAGGTGGCATATTAAGAATGTGCTACTCTGAATTTTTGCAGCACTTAAGTAATATTAAGTGAAGAATGTGCAGTTTTTTTTATCTCAGAACATCATGTTGGCAATTAACAATAATAAAGTTAACACCCTTAGCATAACTGCTCTAGTGTTTTTTTCCTAAACACTAACAAAGTAATTTTTCATATCTAAGCTGGAAATTAATTTAATTATCCCACCATAGGACATGTTACAGAAAAAAGTACTGATCCATTCTTAACATAAGATTGCCCATTTCATTGCATAATATAGGAGTAGTATAACAGACCATTATGATCAAAGTCTTTTCCCCGGTGTTTGAGAAATGGAAAGCATATCATTTCCTAAGGCACTTTGTTTCCTTATCCTACAGTCTGTTACTGCTGCAAAATTTCTCCATATACTTTCCTCACTCTAATTTCCATGTAATTTTAAACCAACCAGTTCTTACTGTATACAAATGTACATAAGGAAATGTTTAATTTTACCTGAATGTTGACAATTGTCCCAAATTTGCTGAAATGTTCATTCAACTGAGTAATATTGTTCAATTCTGGTGGTATTTTACGAACTTCCAATTTAGTATTAGTATACTGGCTCTTCTTCAGGAACCCTGGCTTATTTTGGTTATTAGTTTGTCTGAAGAAAAAGAAAGAAAATAAGGCTTCACGTGTTCTTTTAAAAAATAATTTATGCAAAAGAGCAATATTTTATTTTTAAAGCCTCTTAATATAAGAATTAAAATAATGCCAAAAGCATTCACGGAGCAATTCTAATATGCTGGTGAGAAAACTGCAGGCAGAGGATTTGCCATGTTCAGAGTCTACATCTAGCACAGTGGTTCTCAACCTATGGATCGGGACCCCATTTGGGGTCGAACAACCATTTCACGGGGGTCGCCAAACAAGGCTGTCCGCCATTTTTTCCCCTTTTCTTTGGCCACGCCCCTGGCACCTGGTGATGTATAAGTGGTTGGGGGTCACCACAACATGGGGAACTATATTATGGGGTCACGGCATTAGAAAGGTTGAGAACCACTGATCTAGCAGAATATGGCTGAACTATCCATACCTCTACTTGGCACACTCACTAAAAAAACCCTCTTATTTTAAAATGTTTTTATTTATTTGAATGATTTATAAAGCTGCTCATCACATAGCAGTTTGTTATGCTATATTTAAAACCATAAGAGCCAATGTAGTGTAATGGTGAAGGTGCTGGCCCAGAAACCAAGAGACAGTGAGTTCTAGTCCTGTCGTAGGCATGAAAGACGGCTGGCGAGACTTGGCCCCAAGACCCCTCAGAGGTGATGGTGGTGGTGGTTAAGGGGCCAATAGGAGAAAGAAGGAATATTACACATTCACCACCTTCTGTTATTTATAAAAGTAATAAAGATGGGATAAAAATGAAATAGACAGCAATATATAACCCAATGTACCCTGGTTTAAACATTAATTTAATTAAGCTAAAACGTTCATAACAATTCCTGATTTTCAGGTCCCATAGTTCTTTAATGTAATATGTCTGATTTTGATTTAATTATGCAATTAATTAGCAACACAGGTCCTTACTTTCCAATCCACGGTTTCTTTGGAGATGGCCCTTCCATAGTGTTTGAAATTCTCTTCCTGTTGTCTGGCTCAAGCACCACCCTGGATACGTTACTGCTGTTACTTGCAATTCCAATTGGAGGCTCGGTCTGTATGATAATATTAGCAGCTAGAAGAAAAGATCAATACACCTGAAGCACATACATTTCTTCTGTAGGAATTAACACAAATAGCGCAAATATAGTATTGAAACTGTTCAGACCTTCCACAACATTTTGTTTTTTAAAAAATGGGCAAAATTGGAAATCTTTCTGCTGTAGATACCATTCTCCCTCTCTGAAATTTAATTCAAGTGAAAATTCAACAATGGAAAATTGCCTAACAATTCCAAGAGACACTGCATATAAGCAACAATAGTAAAATTTGTACAGAATGCCTCTGAAAATAAATATTGCTTGTTCATTTAATTTACTAAAGCAAAGTTTGACAAATTGGTCAATTTCTTTTTTTTTTCTTTTTGAGTTTATTTTCCTAATCTTACCAGCAATCTGTTTCCTGTTCAGCTTATGCATTTGGCAATAAGTCTACATAAACATTTATGACCACAAGAGATGTTGTTTTTCTTTCATTTTATCGTTTTCTACTTTTAGAGATGCGAGCTGCTCAGAATCTGGGAGTCAGGTGGCTTCTAAATATCTAATCTATCAGTCAGTCAGTCAGTCAATCCCTGTTCTTCCTTCATTTGTCTTTGGGTGCTTTTACTTCACATCCTTGTTTTTGTTTTGAATTACTCCACCAAACTCTAGAAAGTGGATTTCAGCCAATGAACACATTCTAATTTGCATGTTTAGGAGCTACAAATTGAATAAATTCATATAAATATATGAATTGAATAAATATATCTTGTAGAATGTACAAACAGCATTAAAAACAAGGTTAAAGAGAAAAAACACTCTGTACTGCACAACACTTATTCAGTCCATTCATTGGTACCAACATATTTCTGAAATAACTACAAGTTTATAATGTTTTCTTAGAATGTTTGGCATAATCCAGGAAACAAGAATCACAAACTTCAATAAAATGTTTTAATTCAAGAATTAGGGATAAAATAAAATAAAATAAACCTGTGATAGAACCTCTAGTCCTCATTTGTTGAGTTCATTAACACAGACTGAATATTTTAATCTCGCCTTTCAGACATTTCACTGTCTGCACTGAGGTACCATTTATAAGCTAAATTACTAATGAAATCCTTTCCTAAGTGTTAGTTGCTTGTGAGTAATTGTCCTCCTCTTACTTTCTCAGCCTCTCTACAATCTGTCACAATATTCCAAACCCTCAATGTTTTCATATAAGAGATCATACCTCTTGGATTTGTGTCCATTTCACCAGATGTTAGGCCAATAAGATTTGGACGTTGCATTGGAGTCCTTGAAAAGAACTGTCGATATTGAGATCTACCAGTACTAGTAATACTAGGGGCTTCTGGATTATAGCCATCTGGTTCATATGTATCTATTAGAAGAGAAAGAGAGAAAGAAAAATAAGAAATTTCCTTATTTAAAAACAACGAATTTTAATTTATAAAGTTATATCCTGCCTTCCATATAATGTCATTCTCAAATCAATTAACAATCAACTGTAAGGTGAAACTGTTTTTTCTATTAAAACATGAAAGCACATCAATAAAAACCAAACAATTCATCATGTAAAAACTATTTCAGTAAAATGTTTAGGGCTCAAAAACCTGGCAAGATACGTTTTGAGTTGTAATGCAACTTATTCCCTTAATTTTTGCATCAACATCCCTGGTTGAGATCTATGTAAGATGCCTACAGGAGGACATGCATCTAGAATAGATGGAAATGGATGTTCCTGACATATTGCTAAAGAACATGGAGATGCATCAAGCACACAAGATAAGAAAGGAATGAAGTTTTTTTTCTTTCTTTCCTGCACCTTCTAATTTTTCTTGCTTCCAGCGTCTTGAGAGATGACATTTTTTGAGTGAAGGAACTGGGATGGATCAACCTTGCAGGACTGAATCAAGTACACAGATGAAGAGGACGGCAATCCTTCAAATAACCTATGCCATGTTAATGTTAAGAACTACAGTTCATTTCATCAGATGTAAATTATATTTTGTCATGCAAAACATGGCCCTCAGTAGAGAAATGGGAGACAATTATTTCCCATTTGCAGTTAGTAAACATGGATATATTCTGTGAGATGCAGAAAATAATATTTGCTTACGTTCTGATACTGAATACAGTAGGCTTTGGGGTAGTGGAGGAGGTAGCCTTGCCCCCATTGGTGCAAGGCTGGGCACTGTAGTTGTTCCTGGCTGGTCACGGCTATTAATTAAACTGGATTGAGATGAAGGAGGTCCTGGAATAAAACAGAAATGGTAGTCAGGCCACTTAAACAATTTTTATATGTGATGTCCCTTCATGAATATAGTAAGGCATTTGCAGTAGGAGTATAGGAATTAACTCATTTTTTCTGTAAAATAAATCAAATATTGGACCAAATTAGCTACCTAACACAACTCAAAGAAAATCAGTACACACGTGCTCCTAGTGAGTGGCCAAAAAGACAGTGTTACAGTAACTGCAGTGAATGGGAAACCTAATAACATCCCACAATCCAGATAGCTCAGACTATGGTTCTAGTAACCAAACCATTTCCAAAGGTAGTCACTTGCAAAATTCTTTCCCTTTGCAGATATTATCTACAGACTCTTCTGTCCTTAGTAATGGATGAGAACATCACCTGAGTCTCAGTTTTTTAAACTTAATTCTCAAATGTTCAGAGACTATGCTTTAAATTTTGTAATTGCTTTAGCAGTATTAGTTGATCTCCCATTCATTACTAACAACAGACAATGCACTTGGTGTCTTAGAAATTATTTTGCAGCAGCCCTGACCCAAAAGTGTAGCCAGGATTTTGATAAATATGAAATATCCATCAAGCTCCAAGCTTTTGTCTTAGACTTCAACAATGCACTTTTATCTGTGTATCATCTGTAAGAGTACTATATCTATATCAATAAGAGATAACATTTATTTTTTGGGCCACAACTTTACATATGTATATGCTTATGTGTGTACACACATAAGCATATACACACAAGACGGACAGATAGATAGTCTTTTGGGGTTTTTAATATATAGGTAGTCCTCAATTTATAATCATTTGTTTTGTGACCATATTAAATTACAAGGGCACCGAAAAAAATAAATTTACAACCAGTACTCACAACCATTGCAGCATTCTCATGGTTATATGATCTACAGCACATGCTTGGTAACTGACATACATTTACAAGTGCTGCAGCATCCTGTGCTCATGTGTTTGTCATCTGTAACCTTCCCAGCCAGCTTCCGACAAGTAAAGCCAATCGGGGAAGCATTTGCTTAACAACCATGTGATTCACTTAACTGCATGATTCACTTTACAACTATGGCAAAAAAGGTCATAAAATTGGGCACAACTCATTTAAAAACCACTTTGCTTAACAATGCAAATTCTGGTCCCAACGGTGGTTGCTGAGGTCTACCTGTACTATGTTCCATTGTTTCCATTTGGCATTGTTACTATTATACATAACAGACTATTTTACAAAAAAAAAATAACTTACTTGGTATGGGGATTCTAACAAGTGGTGGTGGCCGAGGATGTAACTGTGGGCCTGGCATTCTCATGTTGTGGGTTGGGCCTTGGGTTGGGGGCATCAGCATTCCAGGTGGAGGAAGTCCTGGAGGTGGTGGCGGGAAAGGGATCATGCTGGGCAGAGATACTTCATCTACAACTAGTGGGTCATTTCCATGATCAAACTGACAAAGATCACCAAGTACACAAAATCCTCGTTCTATTAAGAAAGAAAGAAAAATCACATAAAATCATTATCCATTATACTGATAACTAATGCTTCATTATACTGTAGTACCCACTCATTATACAAAAAAAATGAGGCTTTGTTAAAGACTTTTTATACTAATGAAAGTATCTGTTATGTACTGCAATGGACAATGACATTGCATGGTCGATTTCACATGAAAATAAGCATCGGTCTTAAATCACCTTGATAAAACTGCAATCCTTTTGAATATTTTTCTTTATGAAGCAGGCGTGTCAAACAGGCGGCCCGCGGGCCGGATGAGGCCCCCCCCAGCCACGTCCACCCTGGCTCTGCAAAAGCAAAAAAAGTCCCGATACGTCCCACGATGCAATCGGGTTTGACACCCGTGCTATAAAGGAACCATTGTTCTAGAACAGGCATGTCAAACTGCCGGCCTGCAGGCCTGATGTGTCACACCAAAACCGTGCCCACCCCACTGCCGGCAATGGGGAAAAAGTAGCGATACGTCACGCAACGTCGTGAGTTTGATATACCTATTCTAGAATAAATAAAGAAGCTACTGGGGAGACAAAATCAAACAATAATCTTCTGAAAAAAAGGTTTTTAGCATACTCTATGTCTTTTTCAATAATATTTAGATTAATACATTAAAATATTATTTGACATGAATATTAATCAAAACATAGAGCATATCTATGAGTGCAGACTGTAAGCACTGTGTAGAGCAGGGGTAGGCAACCTTGGGTCTTTTATAACTCGTGGACTTCAACTCCCGGAATTCCTGAGCCAGCATTGCTCAGCTTGGAAACCTCTCTCTTTTCCCTTAGCATGGCTGGCTCAGGAATTCTGGGAGTTGAAGTCTACGAGTCATAAAAGAGCTAAGGTTGCCTATCCCTGGCGTAGAGAATCAGCAACATGGGACACTTTTTATTTCTCCCTATTGGTCTTTTCCAAATCAATCTCAAAAAAACGAGAAATGGGAGATATTATCCCATCTTATACTCTCTTTTTGAGTGGCTGTGTAGTTTAGGCCCACATGGAGAAACATGACAGCAAAAAAATGGTAGCATGGATTTAGGCCCATTGAGGGCATTTTGTTTACAATTCTCAACCTTGAAATAGCCATTTCTTATTCAATTAAATATAAAAACCATGTCACCGAAGTAAAATGAAATTAATCATAGAAGTGTACATATGATCTATATGATGCTAGTCTCATTTATATCATGTTTTGAAAATGCTGCGTGAAGCTGAAAGAAGAACAAGCAGAAGCCTCAGTTACCATCATAATCTCGACACCGCCTTTTTGGTGGAATATTCCTGCCAAAGGAATTAGGTGCGGAATGATTGCCATAGTAATTTGACCAGCTTTCTGTGGTATTTTCAGGATGGTGAGCAGGTGCAATCACAGTAACAGCACTAGGAATACACTGGGCTCCAGTGGAATACTGTTCAGCTGAATTTATGGAAGACAAAGACACAGGGTTGTATGAACTCTCCATGTCACTTCTTTCACACTTGAATTTGGCTCGTTCTCTGTGATCTGTTTGAAAATTCACAATAAGTTTAGATAAATTTACCCTCTCTTCCACAGCTCTTTTGAGACATGATTCTGCATAAAAATTAACTTATGGTATAGTAATCTATTATTGTTCAAGTAAAATCTTCAAATAGTGCTAAAATCACACTTTTGACAGTAGGAAAACTGTATAATTAGGTCCACTGCAGAGAGTTTATTGACTTTTTCCCAGAAAACTGTGACCTTACAAAAAATGGTTTAGATTTTTTTTTTCTAAAATACCATTTTATCATATAACATAAATGTAATTTATAGGAGCAGAGATTACTTAAAAATAAATAACACACATCCACTTCTTTCAGTAGAGGTATAATTGAGAACAGCAACATCAAGCAGTAGGCAAAGAATAACAGAAAGCACCGATCCATTAAAATATACCTTAGAACAAATTTAATAATTTCCTGGATTAAGACATTTTACGAAACATTTATTAAAAGCATGTTTTTAATTTGTTTTCACATAACGTCTTGGATATAATAGCAACTCACCAATATTTCTGCCAGCATCCCTGTCTTTGTTTGTATCTTGGTCTTTGCTTTTACCTCTACTGCGGCTCCGACTTCGACTTAGCCCTCTGCTTTTACTACGACTCTTACTTCTTCCCCTTCGCCAGTCATATTTGTCTCTATATAAGTCATTCCTATCATAGTATCTATCGTAGTCTCTCCATTTGCCATCATCTCTTTTTCTTTCTCTGGTTCTATTTAAAAATCCAAAACAAAAAATTAAGAATAGGATTTTCGAATAACCTAAAATGTTCATAGCATTAAAATGTAATAATAAGATAAGCTGTAGTGATAACATTTTTTTTTAATAAAAACTATGTGTTGACATCTAAGCTTAGAGAAAAAAAATAATAAAAAAGAGATAGCAGATGTAATCAATTTTAACTACTAGAGTGACTAGAAGTTCAGTATGCCTGATAGATGCACTGTTCTAAACACAAATGACTCTGAAAGTTTCTTGAGCTGGTAAAGATTGTAATATTTAATGTCAATCAAATGTATCAGTACAGATGAAAAAAATATTCTTGCTAAGCACCATTTGAATCAGTGACTAGAGCTGATCAAATACTGCAAATGAATCATATTTTACTTAATCAGAGTGTATAGCAAGACCATCTGAAAATAAAGATGATATATACTTTCAATTATGAATAAACACAAACCTTTGTTCATTAGAATCTGAACGATTTTTCTGCGGGCTAGTGTATTTCTTCTTTTTGTTCTCTCGCTCTTCTTCAAAAGATTCCTGAAATGTCTAACAACAAAGATGAAAATTATTAAATAAACCCCAATGATATGGGAGACACAAAACAAAATAACACAGATTGACCTAACAATAAACAACAGATGCTAGCTATGCTGACTCAGGAATTCTGGGAATTGAAGTCCATGAGTCATAAAAGAGCCTAGGTTGCCTACCCCTGTGCTAGCCCAAAGGTGCTTTTTCAAAAGGCAACAGGACTTCCTTTTTTTCCCCTTGAAGATGTTTCGCTTCTCATCCAAGAAGCTTCTTCAGTTTTTGGATAAGAAGCGAAATGTCTCCAAGGAAAAATAAGTGGCATGGGGGGGGGAAGGGAAGATTGGGGGGGAAGGAGTAGGTATCCCAGTGTACCTGAAATCCAGGTGTGATAACAGCAGCAGCAAAGAGAAGGAGTATGCTAGGACACTTGGGAAAGGGATTTGCATGGGTTCTTTTTGTTGAGTGGTGCTGTGATTGAATTTAGGTATGGTGGCAGCAGAAATTAAAGAAAGCTTCAGGATGGGACTGGGGCTGGATTTACTAGAAGGAGCAAGCAGGGGTGGTTGAAGAGAAATGTGCACCATCGTTGCCTTATTCATCCAGCAAAAGTGTCTGGAATTTGTCTTGCCTGGCATATGGAATAAGCAAGGGCTGCAACTACCCGGAGCAAATCCAATGAAACCTTAACTCACAATACGTTCTCTGCACAAAAAAGTCATTTTTTTTCTTTCTTGGGTTACTGCTTCAAGTATAAACACTACAAGGGCAAAGAGTGGAACTAAGAATTCATGACACTAGAGTTCTCTATGAAAATAATGGCAAGCGCAAATTTGTTCAGTTTCTGATCTGGAATTTCAAAGAATAATGTTACAGCGTACCTAATTGTTTTTATGGAAATAAGCTGTTGCTAGTTTATAGAACAAGTGCATCAGCCATTAAAATCATGAAATACAAATTTACGATCAAATAGATAGAGATTTAAATTTATATTTTCATTTTTTACTTATTTCAATGCTGGCCCTTAAGACAACACTGCTTTATTCTAACAAACAAATCAGATCCACTGAACAGCACTCAAAAAAGAATCTACGATAGCCTGGTTAACAAATATTTTGATCCTTGTAGCCTTTTAGACTGTGATGGTTTTCTTGTCTGCTTTCAAGAACCATGGGCTCTTCCAAGCAAATTAAAATGAAAACAGTTCACTCCTATGAAACTTTAACTTTCAGACATTGATTTTAATAGTGAAACTGTTAAAAAATGAAAGTTATGTGGAAGCTGGAAGATAAAAAAAAAAAACAACTCTCCTAGACCTGCTACCAAATCGATCCAATCTGAAAATCAGAACTCCAAAATATTGCAAACTCCTTGCTGAAATAAAAACTGAACAGTTTGGTAATCTACGATGGGGGGGGGGGAGGATGGAAGAATGAAGCATTTGAAGAAATCTTTAAAATAAGTAAAATAGAAATGCAAAAGAAAAAATGTTTGACGTAGTGGCTAAAAATACTGGGCTAAGTACCAGGAAACAGTGAATACTAGTCCTATGTTACGCAATGCCACTTTTTAAAATCATGGGCAGAAGACAAAGCAAATCACTTTTGAAAAATATTGCCAAAACCCAGCATGGGCTTCTCTCTGCATACTGTAGTCCAGGGGTGTCATACCGGCGGCCTATGGGCTGGATGCGACACACTCAGGCTATGCCCACCCCGGCTCCGTAAAGGCAAAAAAGACACGATACATCATGCAATGTGATCGAGTTTGACACCTGTGCTGTAGTCATTAGGACTCAAAACTGACTCAAAGGTATAAAATAATAAACAAACAAAAACATCTTGCCAACCATTAAGTACAGTAATGAATCTATTATACTTTCAGCTTGTGGGGCAATCAGTGAATCTGTTCCATCTGCTCCATGTTGAACTTTGCACTCTGTAGACACTGTATCAAGACTGGTTTGCTTAGAGTTTTATTAAGGCTCACTATTTGACTAAACTTTTGCATGCATCTTTACATTTTATTTTTGAACCAAAGACAAGCTTAGAGCTATGTAAAACACCCTTTCAAATGTTATCACTTTATCATCGTGTTCATTTAGGTAATGTCGATATCCAAAGTGACAATTTCAACAGATACTTGTATTTCATTCAGCCTTTCACTATTATGTTCCTTTCAAATGTTTTTAGCGCATACCAACGTGTGGTGAAGTAAGTAAATACATTAAGACAGCCCCATGCTTTTGTACCACTGCTTCTATTCATAGTGTAGTGAACTTTAGAAAATTTTAACCCCCACACTAGAGTTTTAAATTAGTAATTATTCCCTGTGAAAACAGGTAATTTATTAATTTATAAGATCCTTTCTAAGACTCAGTCATAGTGTGCTTCAGATTTTCAATGGAAATTGATTTTGGAGTGTAAATCTTCATAAGTAGAACTACACTTTCTGAACTCTAACAGGGATGGTCTACACCAGTGGTTCTCAACCTGTGGGTCGGGACCCCATTTGGGGTCGAATGACCATTTCATGGGGGTCACCAAACCATGCTGTCCGCCATTTTTTTCCCTTTTCCCTAGCTGTCCTACTCCCTCTTATTGGTGGCCACACCCACTTGGGGGTCACCACAACATGGGGAACTGTATTATGGGGTCACGGTATTAGAAAGGTTGAGAATCACTGGTCTACACAAAATATGTAGCAGACAAGATTTTAGCTACTATATAATATTTTCTTTACATATTTTAAAAAAATGTTTTTGAAAAAAATCAAACATTATTTGATTATGCTCTATCAAATTGGTGACAACTTTTAGCAACCACATAGATATTCTCCATGACAATTTGTCTCTATATTATCCCCAGGAAGTCAGAATTTTTCTTAAATTCAAGTGAAGTTATCCTGATAAATAATTTGATAGTAAAGAACAGAATTTAGGAGACAGAAAAATCACTGTGTGTATATGAGAGAAGAACTATGTGATACATAGATATCATCTGTCACTTGACCTTATCTAAATATAGCAGAGTTTTCAAATGTAATACAGTCTGAGTTAATAAAACATTAATCTTAACACAACATATGTTATTTTCCCAATTACATTTACTCCTAAATAAAATATCCATTGTGTTAGGAAAGTACAATATTTAAAATGGCAGTCCCTGACCTTATAATTAAATAAACAAAATATAAGCTATGAAGCGATTGAAGCACAATGAAAACAAGCTTTGCATTATTCCATACCAACCTCTGAAATGGGAATAACGTTCTTTAACACAGTAGTTAGCATCTAGAATAAAATATGAAATGCTGTATGAAAAATACAAATATAAAATCACATTTAATGTAACACTGAAAACTATTTGACATCACATTAGCTTTTTGTCCTTATGAATCAGTGCATTTTCCCCAAAGATTTAATGATCTTTTAACTACAATTCTTGAATCATCCATTTTACCTTTGACTTTATCTTTTGACAATGTAGGGGTATGCATGAACTGCAAATTCTTTTTTTAATTTGTTGCAGGAAAAGAAGCATACAGAGGCTCAGAGGTCTTGATTCAGCCAAATCACGGCCATGTTCTGGGTTTTATCCAAGAAAAATCTAAAAATATGAGTCTGGTACAACTTCTAGATGGGTAACTGGTATTCAAATAGAAAATGTAATGTACAAACTTATATTAAGCTAAGCAAAACATTTCACATAGGGTGGTGTCCCATGTCTCACTTTCCTTTTCTATGCTGTGTGCCAGCATGCCTGCCTTATATTCCCTATCATCAAATTTAAATTCAAGCATGGCATACCTAACTGGTCTACTCTGCCACCTGTTTCTTTGACCTTCGTAGCTTCTTCCTTCGTCACTGCTGTTTTCTTATTCAACTAGGCCACAGCCTTCAAATGGCTTTCTTTGACTAGTCAATGCCTTCCCCATTTTTCTATCGCTTTTTTTCCCTAGTGCTGGTTTTACTTTTTCATTGTTTTCAAGGTCCATCCATGTTCAGACAAAACACAGGTATTTTGATCCAATATGGACCAACTAATATTGTCTGTTTCATGCATAGGGCAGTCCTTGCAAGAAACCTTTTAGGTATCCCTGATAAATATCTGGAAAGAGTCAAATTAAAATGAAAGCAAATGGTTGAATATCTTCAGAGAATCTTCCATTATAAATAATAGGATATTAAGTGCCTCAACACATCATCATAGTGGCTCCTTATAGAATTCTTCAAACATGGAAATTCCCTTTTATTTCTGAGACCTCCTAAATTTTTCCCCAAAGGAATTAAAAAACAATTTTGTTCAGCAAAAAATAATAATCAACATGGCCACAAACTTTCTTAGGAGTTTAATCCTGACAGGCTCAAGGTTGACTCAGCCTATGAAGTGGTATATAAATCTAAGTGCTATAGCTGTTAGGAAACATAGAACATGCCTAGTTAAGTACAGAATAAGTATCACAATTCTAGCACAACATATTATAAAAAACAAATCTTCCCAATTCAGTTTGGTGTTCCATAAGTTCTTATTGTCTGTCTCCCTTACGTAATTTGTGCAGAAGGCTAATTATCCATGTTCCAACATCAGAAAGGGCAATAAAGCATAGAATAAAATTATGCAACTTCCAGTAGACATTTCTGAAACTTATTTCACATGCATTTCTTTTCAGTATTATCAATGTTAGTTTCATTCACCTAGCATTGTAAGTAATAATAGTATTATCATTAGAAGTAACAAAATTCCTGTTAATTGTAAATTATATAACTTAAAACCTGGTATACATGAATGCATAGGTCTTCCAATTATAGTGTAACATATACATAATTAAATCCTAGGTAATGGGTAACATACTGGGGATTATGCACATGCGGCCATCACTTCTGCAGCCCGGTTCCGAATGGCTCACGGCCCAGAGTTGACTGTGGCTCAGGGGTTGGGGACCCCTGATGTATAGTAAATCAGGTTTCCTTCACAAATGAAAGGAAAACTATATATGAAGTATCAAGTAAAACTAGAATTAGCCAGTACTGTTATATTTATATACCTGGGATTGAATCCCATTACATTTCACTGGGTCTTCTTTCTCAGTGATGTGCTTTGACTTATGCACAACTATCTTAGGGTATGTTCAATGGACATTATTGGGGTGAATTCTGAATGGATTTGCACAGGACTGCTCTAAGTATCAAGGAAATTATATTGAAAAACTTACCATTGCCTCCTCTTTGATTTCTTCTTTTCCTTGATTAGTCTTTAGATCAGGTTTTACTGGTTCATTAGGAACTAAGTAATTCTTAGTATATAGGCTTTCAAATAGTTTGTCAACAAAACCCGATGTTTCTGTGGGAAACAAGCAAGAAAATTAATCACGTTTCTAATGAACCTAACTTTCTAGTTTTGCATTATAGTTGCTTTTTCTCCAGATTAATTCAACCCCAATAAATGAAAGCGCCTTAAACTTATTTTTTCAATAATAGAAACATCACTACTGTACCACACTGTTTCAAACATAAATTGTGATGTGATTGAGACCTGACATTTGAATTTGAAAAATTAAATACTGCATGCTTGCCCTGCCCTTGATTATGCCTAAAATAGTTGTTCAGATTTCAGGTCATATTCTTAAAACTGTATTAAGAATCCACAAGGAGATCATTCTGTCTGCTGAAAAAGATGGTATAAATTTTATTTTAAAACCAGTATAATTTCTTCAAGGCTCTAACTTTATAGCCTATCGAGAAAAAAAAAAAGAATTCATGGGTGCTATAGTGAAATTTTAGGGTTTTTTCCCCCATCGACTTGAGCTGTGGCATATAGGATGCTGACAAATACTTCCCTGCATTTGGGCAAGCTCAGATAAAATCAAATGCCACCAATTTTATTTTAAATAAAAGCATAACTAACATAATCTAGTTTCATTATAAATTCCTAAATTATGCTGGATGATTATCTTTTCTGGAAGAAATAACAAGTCTTAACAATCATACTGGCCTTCCTATATAGCATGGGTAAGGTAGGTTGTTTTCAGTTTGGACCAAATTTGGGAACCGGAGCAAGCAGTGGCTTGCTTCTTTCTACCTTGCTCATCCATGTTAGAGCTGCAGATAGGAAGTAGATACACACTGACATATTATGTCCTGGTCTGTTCTCTAAACTTAGACTAGGCCAGGGGTAGGCAACCTTTTATGACTCGTGGACTTCAACTCCCAGAATTCCTGAGCCAGCTCTACGAGTCATAAAAGAGCCAAGGTTGCCTACCCCTGGACTAGGCCTAGTTCATGCTGGAGCAGTGGTTCTCAACCTGTGGGTCGGGACCCCATTTGGGGTCGAACGACCATTTCACAGGGGTCGCCAAACAACGCAGTCCGCCATTTTTTTCCTCCTTTTCCTTAACTGTGCTACTCCCTTTTATTCTATTGGCTTTTGAAAGCCAACAGAATAGACTCTCTTGAATAAAGTCTAATTCTATTGGCTTTCAAAAGCCAATAGGAATTGTCCAGGCTGTCTCTGCCCTGCTGAGCCCACCAAAAGTCCCATTCTGCAAACGGTGCTGCACCAGTTGAGTAGTCCTCGACTTACGACCGGTTGAGTAGTTCTCGACTTACGACTGGTTGGGGGTCGCAGCATTAAAAAGGTTGAGAACCACTGTGCTGGAGTAAGATGGGCCTTGGCCTGATGAGGAACTATTCTTATAAGAAGCAATGGGATTGCTGCATCTGAACAAAGCTAATATTTTGTGAGCACTTTAATATTTTAATCTGCCAAAATGAGATTTAAATGTTTTTGCCATTGCCATTGAGATTTTTTTAAAAAAACTTTTTGGTCTAGTCTATAGCACTGGGTTCCTCGTAGTCTCCAATCTAAGTAATAATAACTGATTAGCTTTTTAAGATGAGCAAGGCATGAGTACATGCTACAGTACCACTCAGCTGGGGCAAATTTCTCCATGTTTAGCACCAGCAATTTATAGAATGAATCAGACATTTATATTAATTATCTGACAATAGGTGGTGTCAGCTGTAAACAATCACATATATCTTCTCCATGATGATCTGTCTTTAATTTCTTCCAACAAAGGACCCATCACACTGTGACTGAGTCCATCCATCTTGCTGTTGGTTGTCCTCTTCTTCCCTCGCTTTTCATCTTTCTCATCTTTAGAACTTCTCCAGAGAACTAGCTTTTGCCTAATGTACCCCAAAATAGGATAATTTGTTATTGGTCATTTCTGCCTTGAGTGAAAACTCTGGGTTAATTTGTTCGATGTTCCATTTCTTTGTTTTCCAACAACAAAGTTTGAAAGTATTAATATGACACTTTCTTTTACTTGCTCCTTTACATGTGATGGTTGACCCTAAAAAGCAGACTATACTTATTACCTTGATATCTTTGTTATCAATTCTAAAGCTGGTTGTTGCACCTGTTGTCATTAGTTTGGTCTTCTTTATAATTAATTTTAGTCCTATTTTTTTCACTGTGCTCCTTAACTTTTGTTATTAGAGCTTGCAGATCCTTTGCATTTTTAGATATCACAGTAGTGTCATCAGCACAGTGCAGGTTACTGATGTTTCTTCCTCCAGTTTCAAAACACAGTCATCTTCCACTCCTACTCCTCCTTAAGTATATCCAGCATTTAGTTGAATAAATGAGAGAATATACAGCTTTGTCTCACTCGTAGAACCAATCTGTAGCTTCCTGATCTATAAACAGGTTTTCCATGAGAACGAGATATTCTGAGACAGAAATTTATATATTTGCTCTTATTAGTATGTTTTAATCTGCCCAACAAGTGAAGGTCTTTGGGTAAATTATATACTTTAAAATATTTTTAAAAGAAAAGCAACAATGTACTAATAACAATATTTGAAAGTTATAAAATATGTAAGTCATTACCATAATGTCTATTATTTGTAATTCAATTATAATGAAAAAAAAACCTTATATAAATTCATAATACATTATTAATAAAGGTAACTGTACCTTTTTGCAGAAATACATCTAGTTGATCAGCACAGAAAGCCTTCAGTTCTTTCTCTGGCTTGTCTTTTTTCACCAGTGCAACAACATAGTTAGCCAAGGCTGATGGATCAGCATCACATCTGAGGAAAAATACTTTTATTAGCATATAACTTTTAGTGTGAGAAGTCTAACACAAGATGATATATTGCAATAAACTTTTCTGAAGATGCAGCAGCTTATTCACATAGACAAGTCTGGTACAACTTCTAGATGGGTAACTGGTATACAAATAGAAAATGTACAAACTTACATTAAGCTAAGTAAAACATTTCATATAGCAAGCAATGCTCTGTACTAATGAGTTCCAGAGAAACAAAGTCAATGTTACTAAGAATAAAACATTATTAAAAGTAAACTAAAATTTAAATCAGGATAGAATGTAAGATCCAGCTTTTATCATATTTCTGCACACTATACAGTTATTTAGTGTTACCATATCACAGCAAAAGCCACAACATGAATGTTTATGTCCATAAAAATGCCTTTAAAAATGATAAATTAACAAGTCTGTACTTTTTCCATATTATAGGCTCCATATGAAGTTTTCTCCATTAGTATAGGTTTAGCATTTGTATGCATATTATTTTACTGTTATTTCCCCACGGTTCCTGTTTTATAAGACACTGGGGAAAAATGCTTTTACTTTTTGTCTGCCTGATCCTTGGTCAGCCTCATTAGTTTTCTTCAAATACTCTACCTTTTTTTCAGAGATGCATTTTTTTCTATCGTCAAGTTTTTGTTCAGATTCATTTCCTGTTTCTGCTCCTCCTCCCCACATTTACTACAGTCAGTCATCTGGGGACTTCCTGCCATTTATTTTCCTCTCCCTTATATAGCTTTTCTGCATGTCATGTCGTTCTGTGCAAAGATGTCATTCCATCCAAACTAATACCTTTCCTTCCTGGGTGCAGTACTACAAATTGGTTTCAAGAGTAACTGAGCATTAACTGAATTATTATGGTGTTGAACCCATGCACCACCATTAACTTTCAATATTATTATAGATATTATCCAATGCTTAGGAGGAAACAGATATACACTGTCTATAAACAGTAAAATGATCCGAATCATTTGCCCACACTCTTTCTCTTAGTTATTCCTTACAAAAATATCACTCTTAAAATGTCCTAATAATAATTTCCATGGGGCAATTGAAAATATTTCATGTCCTGAAATTCTTTAAAGTAAACCATAAACAGAACTTTATTAATATAAAAATCTTTATGTTATAATAAAAATATGGTCCCAAGAATAACCTAATTTTGGGAGTATATTTTTATTATATCCCAAATATAGGTTGGGAGTATACCCAACAATCCAGTGATGTTTAAGAGACTAAATGATCTGATTTTTAAAATACTAAAATATAAGTTATACTTGACTTTGAAAGTGTTAATCATAAATTAGTAATTACAACTTATGACAGTGTTGTAGAAAGTGATAAGAAAAAGACAAGATCTCTTGCAGACAAATACACCAAGAATAAAATATTTGACATAAAAGCGCTATTTTGCATATTTTGCTGCAAAAGGATGCTGAACACCATTCAATGGCATGTAAGAAGCAAGTTAGTCATAGGTAAAATGTCAGAAGCAAATGTAGTCACAGGTAAAGTTGCATGCAAAAGATCTTAGGGTCAGCTCTAGTTTTCTGCAGGTCTTCAGGAAGTAGAGTCATTGTAAACTTGAAAATCCTGAGGTACAGTAGTATTTTGGCTTAAAACAATTGTAAATTTACCACATAGGAAGTAATACACAAATCTTTCTATACAAAGTTTTTTTGTCCAATCATGTATAATGTTGATTTTGAAATGAAGATTTAAAATGTTGTATGTTGATAGATCCTTGTTTACATAATGATCAGTGTTTTGTTAAATTCCTTTTCTGCCACTGATAAACTAATGAAATAATGTAAACCTAATTCTTCTAAATGTTAACTTAATAGTATATCAAGTTGATTATCCAAAATAGCTTGTCTTGAAAGTAATGCACATATTGCGTTACATATTGATATTTACACATTGTATTAAGCTGTGATATGGTTAGTTTACGGTTCACATGTGAACTCAGATATTGTGGGTTATAAACTATGTTTATTGTATGAGGGAATGAGGCAAGACAGTGAAAAATCACTATGACTTGCCATGATTTTTCATGATGCATATTTCTTTGCATATCTCTAGATATATTCTGTTATGGCTCTAGAGTTCTTTGAATATATTACATGAACTCTACCAACTGGGATCGATTTAATCTACATAATTTACTGCAAGATTCAATGTAGCCATGTTAAAGAAGGAATCTTTGTAGTCATAACTAAGCAAGTAAAATCAATTAATCTTTAAATCTGAGTATGAAAATCTTCATCTAGATCAGGGGTCCCCAACCCCCGGTCTGTGGAATGGCACCGGTCCACAGCAAGCGGGCTGCAAAAACAAGCAAAGCTCCATCCTCAGGATGCAGGCAGTATTCAAAACCACACCCCCTCTGGTCCGCAGAAAAACCTTTCTCCATGGCACCAGGTCCTGGTGCCCAAAAGGTTGGGGACCTCTGATCTAGATGCTTATTGTTGAATAATAAAACATAGGACAGGCTACAGTTGCATGGTAGTATATATTAAGTGCACAATTGAACAGAAAATTTTAGGCACTTAACTGAAGTGCATCTTTTAATGAATCCCAAAGTAGAAAATAAATATGGCAGACGAGAAACTTAAACACCCCTTTGTTTAGTATTCTGTAGATATTTCAACAGAAACAGCAACTTCCAAATATTTCCTATAATCAACTAAGATTCTTCCTGTTCTTGCTTTTAGATATTTTTTCACCAACTCTTCTCTATTGAACTCTTATAGGCAATATTCTTAGGGTTCCTTACATTTTTGAGATCTCCCCAGATTTTAAATAAATAAGTCTGTGGACTGCTCAGGCTATCCTAGAGCCTTTATGTTTTGTATGTTCCAGATCATTGTTTTGCTGAAATAGCCAACCTCTCTGTTTTGGCTTCAGTTTCTTCACTGACTGTGGGACATCAGCTTCTATGATATTTTGATATTAAGTTGAATTCATTCCTCCTTTTACTTGTATAAATATTTCCTTTGCCACTGACTGCCACACAATCCCAAAACATAATAGAGCCATCTTATGTTAATAGCAGCTAAGGTATTCTTTTCTTCAAATGCGTTACTCTTTTTCTTCAAATGTATGTTGTGTGTGAGTTTGTGACCAAGCTGTTAATTTTTTGTTTCATCAGTCCAAACCCCTTTGTTCCAAAATGTTCTAGACCTGTTCAAGTTTCTTTTTGCGTACCTTAGATGATGACTTTTGTGATGAGGTTGGAGAAAAAGTTTCTATCAACTATTCCTTGCAGTATATTCTTGTATAATGAATGTTGTGCTGTGGATAACTTCTCCAGTGCTAGCTAAACTTTTCAGCAGGTAGTTTGTGTTTTGTAGATTTGTCCAGTTCCAGGCAGTTATGGCAGAGATTTGTCTTGATCTTCATGCTAATGTCCCACAGCCAGTGGAGAAAATGAAGCTGAAAAGAAGTTGGATAGTTCAACAGTACAACAATCTGAAACATACTTCCAAATCAATCATGAAGCTCTTAAAGGAGAGAGAAATAAAGGATTTGGAACTGTCTGTACAGTTCCCAGAGTTGAATATTACTGAAAACCTGTGAAGAAAGACCTCAAGTATGCCATTCATGCTAACAGACCCAAGGATTTCTAACCTAGAAGATTTTTTGCAATGAATAGTGGGGGAACCCCCCCCCCAAAGCAACAACAGAAAAACATCTGGATGGTCAGAGGAAATATTGCTATTTCTGCTGAAATAAATATTACAAAATGCTGACTAAAAGAGTGTCCAGACTTTTGTACTTTCCACATTGTTTTTATTTTATATCCGTAAACAAACTGCTTACAAATAGCAAACATGCTCTGAGATTTGCAGCAAGGTGCTGTGCTTAACTGTTACCATAATACAGATTTTATTCTCTTCATTTAAGGATTCATTAAAATGTAAATGACGACCAAAGGTAACTAAACTTTTGTATTCAGCTATAAAAGACAACACTAAATTATGAATACCAAATAGCCTTTCAAATGTGCTTAGAGATTTGGACACATTTGTAATCCTACCATTTTATATGGTATAAAAATTCAAATGGAGACTCCACAGGTTAGTTAGAAATACCAACTGCTTATGTAACAGAATTCAATGTTATTCTACTTCATTTTATTTTTATCTTAGGAAACCAAATCAGCATTCCAGTTTAAGAACTCAATTCATGAGATATCAAAATCACTTAAAGACTGTAAAGTTTGGGATAACATAGTTAAGTATTCAAGGCCAAAAAGTTAATAATTAAAAAAAAATTAGGAATTGAGATAATTTAAGTATATTCTCTTGGAATTTCTACTCATCATTTTAAGTGTGATATAGCACAGTACTCTTTAATGTAACATGTACACTTCAATTTTTTAAGTGTCAGTTTCAAAAAAATCTACATGGTTTGTAGTATAAGCAATAATATGCAATTGAAGTATAACACAACTAATCAGTAAAAATATTTCCCTCTGTCAAAACAAGTGACACAGTAAACAGAAGACACAAATTGTATTCCAAAAAACTTTTCATGAATGTTCTGAAAAGATGTAATAACTGCTATAAGGTAGTAATTTTTTTTTTTGGGGTCAAGTGCTGGACCAAGTAAAATAAAATGTTAAGGATTCAAAACTTAAATGTCAGAATTTTTCAAAGTTATAGACAAAGTGCTTGCATAAAAAAATCAGAATACCTCTTGGTATTATGCTAGTTTACCAATAATATCGAACTTGGTAAAAAAAATATTTCATTATTCTAGTGAGCTGCTTTCTTCTAGTGGTTTTTCTTGTTTACTACTCGACTCAAACCCAAATATAGAGAACGGGTTCGATCGAAGGATGGGCAATGGATTCATTTCTGTGTTTCAATAGTATATGACCCACTGCCCTAAACGTTTTTCACTTCCACGCAGCGCCTCTTATCAGGAGGCTCCCTGTCAAACCCACATTCTCCTCAATACTCTTAAGCCACGATCGGGACGTTTTGTGAACCAAGTAGGCGAGCAGAGAACCCCGCTTTTTGTCCCCGTAGAAACTCAGGCGCTTCATTACTCCCTTCATCCTCACGTGTGTGTGTCTCTCTCTTTCTCTCTCTCTCCCGGTTCCCAGCTTAGACTGTAGCTGTTACTACAATGCCTTCTCCGGCATCTAGGCAGAGGGACCCTCCACGCCACAGGCGGGACCCGCTCCCTCCTTGGGGGGGGGTGTCTTCGGCTTCTCCCGCGCCTCCGGCTTATTAGCCCCAGCTCCTTCCCTCCAGATTCACGCATCCCTTGCGGGCCCCTTCCCAAGCCAGCCCACCCTCCTTCCCCGGTCAAGCCCCATAATCTCCACCTTAAGGTCCCAAGACGTCCCTCACCCTGCGCTCCCTCCCCCCCCCAGGGTGGAAGTGAAGACTACCCCGCCCGCCGCCTGGGGGGGGCTCTCCCGCACCAGCCCGCACTCACATTGGCTCCAATAACTTGGCCAGCCAGGACTTGAGCGCGTCCACGTTCTCTATGATCATGGCGAGGAGGGTCACGGCGGTGCTGCAGTTACACTTAGGGCAACATCCCCCCGCGCTGGACTCCGGCCTCTTCTTCCCTCTCCCGCCAAGTAGTCACTCGCCGCCAGCAGCAACAGCAGTACCTCTCACCCCTCCCCCGTTTCGCCGAGCCTGGGCCTAAGTCAGACCAGGAACTAGCTAACCGAGAGAGCGCAACGTAACCTGCTGGGCATCGGAGAAGGGGCGGGCACCCGGTTTCACAGCGGAGCCAATCCGATGACGGAGCCTCAAGGAAAGTCAGCCAATCGCGCGACAGGAGCCCCGAGCGAAGGGAACCAATCTGAAAGCTGCTGGGAGTACGGTACAGTGGCAAGAGGGGAGGGGGGGTGACACCGGTGGGAGGGCTCAGCAGGTTAGGTCGAGTCAACACGCATTGAATTCTTTGTAAAGAGAGCTGCGAATTTGGGGGAGCCGCTCCTCAAGCGCGGGTCGTTGGAATACGTGAAATCATGTAGCGTAAAAAGTGTGTTTCCGAGCCTTTGCCGAACAGATTCTTACGTACGTTGCACATTAATCGGGCATAGATCGAGTCAGAAATCTGCGTTTTATGCACGGCGTTGTGTTGATTCCACACGAATTTGTATCGAGTTCGCGAACGGTTCTCTTAACTATATGTGTATACTATACATAGAGCCAAACTAAATTACTGAGGCTCAATTGCACAAGGCTACAATCTCGCCTCTCGCAACAATTGTCATACTTGCTAGCATAGGATATACTGTAACTACAAACAATTGTCATAACTACAAGCCTCTAATGAGGTTAAAACTAAGATGAAAGCTGATATGCCATAAATTTAGATCAGTGTTTCTCAACCTTGATAATTTTAAGGCATGTGGACTTCAACTCCCAGAATTCCATAGCCAGCAATGCTGGCTGTGGAATTCTGGGAGTTGAAGTCCACATGCCTTAAAATTGTCAAGGTTGAGAAACACTGATTTAGATCATCTAAATCCCCCAAGAAACGTACTACCTGAGGAAAGCAATATCTAGTAATAATGGTTAACATGCAACATGAAAATATTTATTAAAATATATATGAACTACACACTCATCATGTATAGTATTTACCTACACATGCACAGAAAAGCCATTGTGGTATAATGGTTTAAAGTTTTGGAACAGGATGGGGTAAACAAGTTTAAATCCTCTTTCAGCAAATGGATACCCAATGAATTAGGCCAGTCACTCTTAGCCCAATCTACTTAATTGAGTTCTAGGGGAAAAAAATCAAGAGAAATACAGTATCTAAACACTTTGAATTCCTGGCTATAATGAAATTAACATCAGCAACTGGAAATTTTATTTAAAGATACTACATTTGACTTTCCCCATTTATGCTATTCCTAATATTTATAGTTAAAGTTTAAATGATAAACCATATTTTTTTCCATACAGTGCAGGTTTTATGAATGTTATTTAACAAAATGTTCAAAGCAAAATAATGCAGAATAATTTTATTTTCATTCATCAAAATAGTCAAATTGACAGAAATCAGATCTAGTCACTTGATACAGACCCACATCCCTACATATACGTAGCAAATAAATATTAAATTCTGTCCATCTTGAATATATAACAGAAGGAGGAAGCTTAAGAGTTCACAAGGTTAATGCTGTATGGGATGAAACTATGGCTGAATCTGGATGTTCTGCTACGGATACCATGAAGCCTCCTCCCAGAAGGTAACAAGGAAAACAGGTTGTGAAGAGGATGTGTAGTGTCCCAGATAATCTTGCGGACCCTGCTCAAACAATGCTTCTGTGCTATGTCCTGGATGGGAGGGAGGGAACTGCCAATGATCTTTTCGGCCATTCTCACCACTCTCTGCACCACCTTCCTGTCAGAAGCAGTGATGCCTCCAAACCAGACTGTGATGCTGTATGATAGGATGCTCTCGATTGTCCCCCTGTAGAAAGTGGTCAGGACAGGGGAAGGAAGATGTGCTTTTCTCATGCGACGTAGAAAATGCAGGCGCTGCTGTGCCCGCTTCATCAGTTTCTTGCTGTTGAGTGACCAAGTCAGCCTACTCATTAGCTGCACACCCAAGAATTTGATGCTGGTAACCATCTCCACAGGTGAATCATTAATGCACAGAGAAGTGTGGCTGTGCCTGCCTTTTCTGAAATCAACAATGATCTCTTTGGTTTTTCTGGTATTTAAAACTAGGCTGTTTTCCTTACACCAGTTCACCAACCCCTCAACCTCCTTGCGGTAAGCTTCCACCTTGTCATCCTGAATAAAGCCCACTACTGTTGTATCATCTGCAAACTTCACAATATGGTTGGTGGCAAACCTAGCACAACAGTCATGAGTCAACAGAGTGAACAGCAGCGGACTTAAGACGCAGCCCTGAGAAGAACCTGTGCTCAAGAAAATGGTATTAGAGGTATTTGTTCCAATTCGCACATATTGGGGCCTGTTGGTAAGAAAATCAAGAATCCAGTTGCACAAAGGAGTGTTTAAGCCTAAAAGGCCCAGTTTGTCTACTAGATGCTGGGGAATGATTGTGTTAAACGCCGAACTGAAGTCAACAAACAGCAAACGCACATGAGTATTTCTGTCCTCTAAGTGCTTCAGGCTCAGATGGAGAATGGAAGAAATAGCATCCTCCGTAGAGCAATTTGGTCGGTAGGCAAACTGAAGCGGGTCAAATGCTGGTGGGAGGCTAGATACAATAGTGTCCTTTATCAGCTTCTCAAAGCATTTCATGATGGTGGATGTCAGTGCAACCAGAAGGTAATCATTGAGGCCTGTAATTGTGGACTTTCTTGGCACTGGCAAGATGATGGCTGTCTTAAAACACGATGGGACCACTGCCTGCTGCAATGAGAGGTTGAAAATATCTGTGAGAACACAAGCCTGCTCCTCTGCGCATTTCCTGAGGACACATCCAAGGATATTATCTGGGCCTGCTGCTTTCCGAATGTTAACTGTCTGCAGTGTTTTTCGGACAGAGGTGACATCAAAGCTTGGCACTTGCTCATCAGGATGGGGCACAGCTTTCCTAGCAGGAGTGCTATTTGATGCTTCAAATCTACTAAAAAATGCATTCAGTTTGTTTAGGAAGTCTATGTCATCCTTGCATCTCGATGGAACCACCTTGTAATCCGTAATGGCCTGGATCACTTGCCACATTTGTCTGGTGTTTGTTGGGTCCTGAAAAATTTCTGAATTTTCTGGCAATGGGCTTGCTTTGTACCTTTTATGGCACTTTTCACATTTGCTCTGGCTGTTCTAAGTGCCAGCATGTCACCAGATTTAAAAGCCACATTCTGTGCTTCAGTATCTTGTGGACCTCATAAGTCAGCCACGGTTTTTCATTCGCCCTCACAACAATGTTTTTCAGGACACAGACCTCTTCTATGCACTTTTGGATATATGCAGACACTGTGGTGGCATACTCCTCAACATTTGTATGTTGGTTATCAGTAGCTGCTTCCTTAAACATGCCCCAATCTGTGCACTCAAAGCAGTCTTGTAATGCTTCTATAGCTCCCTCTATCTAAACCCTCACCTGCTTTACTGTAGGTTTCACTCTGACCAATAAAGGTTTATATGCTGGAATAAGCAGCACTGAGAGATGGTCAGAGGGGCCCAGGTGAGGGGATAGCTTCGAAAGCCTTCTTGATGTTGGAATAAGCAAGATCCAGTGTATTGTCCCCTCTGGTTGCAAAGTCCACATATTGATGGAAATGTGGCAGGGTAGCTTTCAAATCCACTTGGCTAAAGTCACCCACTGCAATAAATGCACCCTCTGGGTGAGTAGTTTGTAAGTCACTGATGGTATGGTGGAGAATCTTCAGGACCTCTTCTCTGTTTGCATCAGGGGGGGTATACACAACTGTGATAATGGTAGCAGAGAATTCTCTAGGTAGATAGAAGGTGCAGGACAGTATAGCAAAAATAATATTGCTTATGTAATAGTAAATACTATTACAGTAAATACTGATTTCAATGGGGTTTATGTCCTAATAATTTTGAATTTTTAACTGCATATAAGTACAAATGCAAAAAAGCCATCTTCTATTTCTTTAGTGTGTGCAAGGTTTAGAGAAAAATTATTTTAAATAAAAACTGTGAAGAAACATCAATATTGTATTATACTGTTTTTTTTCTAGAAATACCTATATTTATCCTGTTAATTTTTTGTCATCAATACTATATTTTAATTTATTTCTTTTTCCTGTGAACAAGGGCATGTTATTTAATAAAAATATGCTCTGCCTCACAGGCAATTTTGAAAGCTTGTATATGCTTTTAACAAGAGATGGCTTAATAAAATACTTTATCTCTTGAAATGCTTTTCTGTGTGAGAAACATTGCAATATGATGACATCAAATTGAACATCAAGTAGCTTCTTGGATATATTATAACTCTTGCATACTTAGCAAACTTTCAGAAACAAATATTGGATAGTTTGTCAGTGAGCCTCACATAGAACTACAGTGCATGCAACTTATTTTTGTTCCTGCAAAATGCATTCCTTTGGCATGCATTTTAGAATCAAGTCCTAAAGGACTCATAATCCAACCAATTTGAATATCCAAATTATAATTAGTTACATTTATTTTACGGCTGGAAGGCATTTTTTTTCAGTATGAAGAAAAGTATTGCAGGTTTTAAAAACAATTAAAAGAATGCAAACAGAATCAGCCCTGATTACATTTGCAATTTTGCAACAGCTTTTGAAAAGGTATACAAATTATATCACTTCCATTCCTTCCGCTTCACTTATGACATCAAATATACACAAACATAACATCAGAAAGATTGAAATTAAGATTTGGATACTTCCATTGGTGAGCATCGATACGTTTCAGCCTCTCGGTGCACTATGGGAAACATAGTATTCAATTCCAGGACCTCGTGGTTTGTGGAAAAATCCTACGCGACAAGCACTTATATATAATGTTTGGTTTTTAGAGCGAAATTGTAGTTCAGTTGGCGGGTACCACGCGTTGCATTAGCTCTGTGCAAACTCAACATCCCAAAAGTCTTTGCGAGGGAACCGCCTCCATCTTTTATTTGAAATGCATTGTGGGAGAATCGGCGGCGTGGAGCAGGGGCGTATAAGCTGCAGGTTGAAGTCTTTCAGACTATCGAGGAGCGATGACGGTGAATATCGGTGATAGCGTTGCCTGGATTGATTTTAGGTGGCTGACTAGCTAGCAGCTAGCACGAGTAGGGATCGGAGG